AATTGATGCCCATATGGGATGCCTGCACAGCAGGTGGCAGCTTTACCTGCTACCCCACAGCGCCAGCCCTCAAAGCGCTCTTCTTGAGACATTAAATCCACTCATGGAGGTGGAACCCTCACAACCTAATCAATCACCTCTTAAATGCCCTGCTTCCCAATATCATTACAGTGGCAATTAAATTTCAAGGTGAGTTTTGGAGGGACTAAATATTCAAACCTAAACGCTGATGTAGAGCATACTTCTTGAATGCTCTTGTCTCTGAAACATGATACCTGAGAGCCGAGGGTTGCCCTCAGGCCTGGGTGACCTCAGGAGAGCTGTTTTCTCCTAATATTGCTTGGTGTAAACGGCAGAATGAGACAAGGGAGGGAGGCTGTGTCTGGGAGGTTATCTGACTGGGGAGACTTCACCCGGGCTGATGGAGCTGTGAGTTGGCAGGAGGCTTGGATCTGCAGGATGAGGATGTCTCAAAGAACAGGGGCGGGGGGAGGGAGGAAGCCAAGGTGCTCTGTGCTGCCCTACATCCAGGTGACCCACACACCTAGGTCTCCCATCCACGCCAGTCCTGCCTGTTCCGTGTGGACGCAGGGATACAAGAAACAACGGCCTGGGGTGGCTTCTGGGACTCCAGATGAGCTGGAAGTGCTGCACCTGCTGTGTTTGTATGGCTGTGGCCTCCCACAGGACTGAGTCAGGATGGTACTAGGGGGAAGCTCCTCTCTGGCGAGTCTGATTCCAACTGAGACACACAGCAGCGACTGCGCCAGGTCAACACCTCCAAGCTTTCGCTCATTTCGGTCCCTCATTCAGAATGATGGTTCCCTCCCCCTGTATGTGGTGTCTGTGTTGCTGCAGCAGGCGTACATGTCTTAGTGCTGGCTATCTCTATGTGTGCATATAGATGCTTCTATCTATGGAGCCCACTCATCTTATGAGATGTGGTATCAATCGTTTCCACACCGAGGACTAAAAATATTTACTCATCAAAGAAAACTGCCTTCTATCAGATCTAAAATACCGGCTCTCCGGGAGGAGGAGTCAAGAGCCTCCACGGAAAGAGGCCACCATTTCAGCTGTGGTGGGCAGCGAGGGAGCCTTGAGAAACAGAACACAGGCAGGCTTGCAGCACAGGCTGGATGCTGTGAGGCTCTGCAGGGGTCCTTTATCATCCTGAGTCTTAGTTGCTTTAATGTGCCTTGGGAACGACCCCTGCAGGAATCAAATGAGGTAATATATGGATACAACGTCAGCAGAGTGGGGACTCCAGGCTTCCCCCCAGGATTTCTCCTCCCGCTGGTTTCCTTCCTTCTCCTGAGTCTGTGATAAGAGTGGTAGTAGTAGTGGTACTGGGGTCAGTGTTGTGACATAACGGTAAAGCTGCCACCTGCAGTGCCAGCATACCATATGGGCGCTGGTTCTAGTTCCGGCTGCTCCACTTCTGATCCAGCTCTGCTATGGCCTGGGAAAGCAGTGGAAGATGGCCCAAGTCCTTGGGCCCCTGCACCCACATGGGAGACCAGGAAGAATCTTCTGACTCCTGGCTTCGGATTGGCACAGCTCTGGCTGTTGCAGCCAATTGGGGAGTGAACCAGCAGATGGAAGACCTCTCTCTCTCTCTCTCTCTCTCTCTCTCTCTCTGCCTCTCCTTCTCTCTCTGTGTAACTCTCACTTTCGAATAAATAAATAAACCTTAAAAAAAAAAAGACAGGGATAGTCGTTGCTATGGTTTGATCCTTTCCAAATTGTAACTGTGATTCAATCCCTAAGGAGACCCAGGGCAGTGAGATGAGGAAGGACCACTGTAAGGTGATTGGGGCTGTGCCCTCAGGAATGGACTAGTGGGTCCATGTGTTCTCTTGGGTGTGGGTCTACTAGCAAAGTTGCTTTGACCAGGTCTGGGGCCACTTGCTGTCACCAAATGCTGCCCTTTGACCCTCAACCTCAACCATGAGCCAAAAGCAACCCGTTTCCTCAGCACTGACCCAGTCTGTGGTCTTGCGCTATTAGCAACAGAAGATGGATTAAGATAGCCGAAGCGATGCCTTATAGGGTCGTTGCAAAGGCGACCGTAAAGGAAGGTAACACGTTTTCCACAGTGCCTGGCACATGGTCAAAGCTCAGCACAAGGGTCAAAGAAAAGGACGTTGATGAGAACTCTGGATTTGTCCCCTGCCTAGGACAGAGCTGGGGCTCAAGGCCAGGCCTCCATTTGTGGAACTGATTCAGTCCCACACTCGGCCCTGGGGACAAGCACAAGACTCAGCTTGTCCTCCTCCTCCTCCTTCCTCTTAAAGATTTATTTATTTATTTAAATATTTTAGTTATTTATTTGAGAGAGGAAGAGGCAGAGAGAAAGGTCTTGCATCCACTGGTTCATTCCCCAGGTGGCCGCAACAGCCAGAGTTGTGCTGATCCGAAGCCAGGAGCCAGGTGCTTCTTTCAGGTCTACCACATGGGTGCAAGGGCCCAAGGACTTGGGCCATCCTCTACTGCTTTCCCAGGCCACAGCAGAGAGCTGGATCGGAAGTGGAGCAGCCGGGTTTGAACCATCACCCATATGGGATGCCGGCACTGCAGGCAGCAGCTTTAGTCGCTACGCCACAGTGCCAGCCCCCAAAACGGCCTGACTTCTGACTTCAAGAAGCTCAGTATCTGCTCAGGGACTGGGATTGTTGTGGTTTCTGATTTCCTACCCCACGTGTCAGTAGGGTTCCTTATACCCCTGTCTGTCACCTTCCTAAGAGCCAAGAGAGTGCCCTGATCCGGAGCAGGTGGCCGACCATGACAAGGTGGGTGCATGCTGGAGACAAACCCACAATGCCCCACCGGTTGTTTTTCCCCCTCTGCGCATCCATCGTGCCTCTGTGGGCTTCTTCCCTCCACAGATTTTCATAACTTGTCACCACAGTCACGTCTGTGTGTTTGGTGGATGCCGTTTAAATTCTGTTACTATTTAATATCAAGAACATCTAAAAAGAACATTTTGAGAGACTTGGGAAATCCAATTGGTCTGCTGGTAATTCGATTTGCAGGAAATAGGAGAAGATAGGATTCTGAACAGAGTGCTTTGAAATGAATCGGCACTGCTTTCTTGGACAGCCAATGGATGTGCTCTGATTGGGCGCCGTGCGAAGTCTCCATTAGTGAGAGAGGGCAGTGTGGCCTGCTTGGGGATGGCTCAGCTGTGTGTGGCTGAAAGTCCGAAACGAGAGTGGTTGAAATAAGAGCTGTGCTGTGTGCTCCTCGTGGAGAAGAAAGCAGGCGGAGAAATGGAGGGGCTCGCAGAGCCCCCAGGGAGCCACATGGCTTCCTCCTCCTGAGCCAAGAAGCTGTCTGGACTCAACCACCCACTCCTTGAGGGAGCTGGATGAAACCAGAGCATCTTTCTTTCCCGGGGGGGGGGGGGGGAGGGTGGGGAGGAGTGTGTGTCTCACGTTACACTTCCTCCATGCTATTGGCTGGTACTCAGTCATGTGAGGAAGCTGGGAAATTTAGTCTTTATGCCAAGTACCTAGGTACTTAGCTAAAGTCCGGTTTGACTACAAGGGAAGGAGGAGAGAATAGACACTGGAGCTTACTCAGCAGGAATCTTTCACATTTTTATTTATTTTATTTGAAAGACAGAAGTGAGAGTTTCCATACACTGGTTTAAGCCTCAAATGCCTGCAATAGCCTGAAACTCAGTTGGCTTGATGCGCTTACACGCTCACGGCAAAGCCAGAACCAGACCTGCAGGCAGGTCTTGGAAGACAATGGGAGTGAGTTGATTTGACCACAGAGGATGTAGGTCTGGAGTGATCTCATTCTCACCCCCATGCAGGACGTCAGTGGGGTTCCGGGCATGCTCTGGGGTGGCTGTTTGCATTTGGGTCAGCTCTGATACTCCATGGCTGCATGATTTATAAAGGTTACCTAAGTGTTCAGCATCTCAGGTGGTTCATCCATAACTGTGAAGAATACTGTCAGTCCTAGTGGTGTGGGAAGGGCTAAATATGCCCTATACACATAAGGCTCTTCAAACAAGGTAGGGGTGGGTGGGCATTTAGCCAGGCAGATAAGATGCTCCATCCCTGACCACAGTGCTTGGGTTTGAGCCCTGGCTCAACTCTGATTCCAACTTCCTGCGAATGCACAGCTTGGGGGGCAGTAAGGGCTAGCTCAAGGGCTTGGATCCCTGCCACACACATTGAAGATCTGCATTAAGTTCCTAGCTCCCACCTTTAGTCTGGCCCAGCTCCAGCTGTTGTACCATTTGGGGGATGAACCAGCGGTTGGGAGATCTCTCTCCCTCTCTCTCTCTCTCTGTGTGTGTGTGTGTGTGTGTATGTGTGTGTCTACCTGTCCTAACACTCTCTCTGCCTTTCAAATAACAACAACAACAAAACCACTGCTGGCCATATTCTGCGTGCTACTATTCATACAAACTCTATTATTCACCTTGCATCACCATTCCTATTCTTTTGTAACATGTACAGGAAGTCCTGGAGCTCTCCAAGAACCTTGCTATGGACAGACACCTGCGCAGCCCAGGCCAAGAACCTTCTGTTAGGTCTGGAATAACTTGGGGTTCTGGCCTTTCATAACCCCCCAGAAAGGAGAGACGGAAAAAGAGACAGAGACCAACCTCAACAGAAACAGGTTGCTTTATTGGAAGCAAAGAGGTTGGCAACAGTCTGTTCTTGCGAAGAGACTGCACCCTGGTCACATTTGGGACTCAGGTTTATCAGGTTAGGAAGGAGTTTGCCACTATGGGACTGGTGGAAGAGTAGGGGACTCTGAAATCTGGGAACTTCTCTCTTATCTGTTTCATAGCTGGCCCCTGCAGCTTATCTGTTTTTCCATTTGCATTACAAAGAGTTGAGAAGGGTCTTGACAAAAGAGAGGAGGTGGGGTGGGGAGGAGTGAGGAGGAAGAAAGGGAGGAGGGGGAAGGTGCAACAAGTCCTTTCCCTTTTGGAAAAAAAAAGCAGCTTCCAGCAGGGAGCTGTCCAGGACATCTGGGGCCTCTTGGCCACCTCAGAGGGCGGCCTTATCCCTGTGGCAAATCTCAGCTCTTCAGTCTGATCCTGTTTCCTGTAGAGTTTTCTCAGTGTTTCTCAGAAGAATGAATTCCCAATGGACTTTACTGCCTGTCTGGTCCAATTCAGCCCCGAAGGCAAGAGCAGAGGTTTCTGGGAAGCCCGGCTTGCACTGCCACTATGGATCGGTGCAATTTTGGGGAAGTCACTGGACTTGAGTTTCCTTCTCTTTCCATTGACGGGGACAGGGAGAGATGGCTGCTGAGAGCTCCCCTCCCTCTCTGAGCTCAACCGCTGTGTGTGGAGGGCTTTGTTCTGGGTCTCAGGCCGTTGGCTGGTCCCGGTTCCATATGCCTGGTGTGTGGGGGTGAGTGTGTTCCTAGCTGGAAGAAGGGGAAGCTTCAGGGGTTCAGCTAATGTTGTGTGACTCTCTTCCAGGTTTTATGTTGCTGAGCAATCCTGAGTCACCAGGCTGTTTGCGTCGGGTGTTAAGGAACCCTTGGCTTCCGCTCTGCCCCCTCTCCCTGGGTCGCAAAAGCCGGAAGGGCTGGAAGAGAAGAGAACGTTGCTAATAGTTTGGAAACTCCGGAATCGCTTCGGGTCAAGGACCTTCAAGGTGATCTCTCTGTGCCCCCCCCCCCCCCCCCCCCCGAGAGAAAGCCAGGGGGGATTTTTTTCCCGAGGGTCCTGACTTTGGACTTGGAAGCTCTGTGCCGGTGTAGTGCAGACTGGAGGACCTCAGGAGGAAAAGGACTGGTCTGTGCAAAGTCTCCCCACCCCCTCCCCTGCTGGCTTCCTGCTGCCCTTGGTCCTAAAATCCTGGAGGCTATACCAAAACGGCAGCCTGTGGAGCCTGCAGGAGGAGCCACCTGCGAGCCTCAGCCATCCCCCCACCCCCCACCTCCCACCCGCTACTCCCCGCCCCGCGGAGCAGGCGCCTTCCTGCAAGCTTCTTTTTAAAGCGATGTAAAAAAGGAAAGGGCCGCTCCCCTTGCAGCCTGCAGCGTTGCATTTCCATCATCCGTTGTCATGACAGGGTCTGACACGCGAGCAGCCTCAGCAGCGGGGCTGACAGGTTGATGGGTTTAATTTCAGCGCCGATTTCTGCAAAGAGGCAGCTGCCAGCCACGCACCGCTGGCGGCGGGGGAGGAAGACGAGACAAGCGGGCGGGCGGCGCGGAAGCGGTCCAGTGTGGGTCAGGCCCACTGTGGCTGCCCCAGGCCCTCCTCAACGCCCCTCACTCCTAGCTTACCACGCCCCTCCCAGGGGGTTCATCTTAGGTCTCTGAAAAACGGAGGCACTGATCACCAAAGTTGCCCTGACATGGGAAAGCTGTTCCAGATGCCAGAGGCTCCTGCACTCCCTGGTCTTGGTCTTTCCTGAGAATCAGCAAGAGATGGACATATTTTTTTTACCTCACTTCCACCTCCCTCTTAACTCCACTTGGCCTTCTAACACAAGGTCCCAATGCATGTAAGAGAAAATTTAATACTGCAAAAGAGAAAATACAAAAGCCAAGGTAGGATTGCTGTCTGCAGGCTCTGTGCTCCTGTTCCCCCAACCATGATCCCTGAGATCCAACTTGGAAGAGGTGGTACCGGGCCAGTGCTGTAGCTTAGTAGGTTAAGCCTCTGCCTGCGGCACTTCCCCTCTGCACTCTGAGTCCTGGCTTCTCTGCTTCTGATCCAGTTCCCTGCTATGGCCTGGGAAAGCAGTAGAAGATGGCCCAAGTCCTTGGGCCCCTGCACCTGCGTGGGAGTCCTGGAAGAAGCTCCTGGCTCCTGGCTTTGGCTGGCTGTTGCAGCCATTTGAGGAGTAAACCAGAAGATGGAAGACCTCTGTATCTGTCTCTCCCTCCCTCTATCTTTAACTCTGACTCTCAAATAAATAAATAAAATCTGAGAGAGAGAGAAAGAGAGAGAGAGAGAGAAAGAGAGATGGTACCGTCCAACACTCCCCTGCCCTTCCTCTCTCTCCTGCACACTGACCTCCTGTTTGATTTCCTCTGAGCCTTGTGGATGGGGAGACCTACAAATAAGCGTCGTTTGTCCATTCTCCCACTGTTAATAGCTGCTGTGTGCCAGCTGTGTGCTTCGTGTTGGAGCCTCAAGCTGAATTATTCATGTTTCCTGCCCTCAGGATTGGAACATCTGGAAGACAGAACTCACAGGCAGAGGGGTGATCTTTGGAAATGCAAATTAGCACCACCTTGTGAACTCCAGATTGGTCCAATTTAAAAGGTAGGAAGCTATTAAGTGTTGTTGAAGATATAGAGCAACCAAATCTTGTGTACACGGTGGGTGAGGTGACAAATCAATACAAGTACTTGGAAAATAAATTTGCCTTGTTTAATAAAGAAGCATATGCAGATATGCTATGACTAGTGGTTTTATTATTAAGTGTATTCTCAGGAGACATTTTTAAACATACAACAGTGATATTTTGAAATAAGAAGACACTGCCAGCAGTACAAATGTCTATTTAGAATGAATAGGAGTGTTGGGAATACTATATAGCAGTGAAAATGAATGCATGCCTATTACCGTACACATTGGCTTGCATCAATACTGCTGATAAACTGTAGAACAAGAAAAGCAAGTCACAGTATCATATGTTGAGCATGAGTTTGTTTATATAAAGGTCAAATTGACAAAGCTAAATGTATAGTAACCATACTTAAAAACAGCAGGGGGAAGTCCTCCATCACATGCGAGATAGCGCTTAGCTCTGTGAGTGGGGTTTGGAAATGGCACGGTCAAAACTGATCTCATGGCTTAGGCTTTGCTCGGGCTGTTTTCTGTGTCTGGAATAGTCAACGATACACAGATTCTCACCCCCTGATACCCCTCCCTCTGCCCGCTACCATTATTTAAAAAGAGTTACTTATTTATTTATTTATTTTTATTTTAAGGAGAGAGAGAGAGAAACTTCCATCCACTGGTTCACTTCCCAAATGCCCACAAAAAGTTGGGGCCAGGCCAGATCAAAGTTGAGAGCCAGAAACTCAATCCAGGTTTCCCATGTGGGAGACTCAATCCAAGTACTCCCAAGTACTTGAGCCATCATTGCTGCCTCCCAGGGTGTGCATTAGCAGGAAGCCGAAAACAGGAGCAGCGCTAACACCTGAACCCAGGTACTCCTATGTGTGATGCTGCGATCCCACACAGCATCTTAACTGTTGTACCAAATGCCACTCCTCCCTTAAAAAAAGTTTTTAGCTGAGATAGAATCGGAATAAATTGCACACATTTAACGAGTCCAGTTTGGTCAGTTTTGACAACAATCGGTATATTCCTGCTCTTTGGAAACTCCTCTCCCTTCTCTTCCTGACCCATCCCCACGTGCCCAGCACATCACTGGTCTGTCACTGTAGATAAGCTTATGTTTTCAGGAATTGCATATAAATGGAACCATACAACATTTCTTCCGTATTCTCTGGCTTCTTTCATATTGTTTTGAGAATTCATGTCACAGCTGGCATCGAGAGCTTGTTCCTTTTAATTGCCGAGTTTTATTCCACTGTACGGTTAAGCCACAGATTGTTTAGACATTCCTACAGGCTGTTTCTAGTTTGTGGCTCTGCTGAGCACAGCTACTATGAGCATTCATGTACAAGGCTGCACATGGACATTTATTTTCCTTTCTCCTGGGTACATACCAAGGAATGGAAAGACTGGATCCTATGTTTAACTTTGTAAGAAGCTGCCTTTTTTTTTTTTTTCCAAAATGATTGTACCTTTTTTTTTTTTTGTTCAGACAGTGAGAGACAGAGAGAAAGATCTTCCTTCCATTGGTTCACCCCCCAAATGGCCGCCATGGCTGGTGCTGCGCTGATCTGAAGCCAGGAGACATGTGCCTCCTCCCGGTCTCCCACATGGGTGCAGGGACCCAAGCACTTGGGCTATCCTCCACTGCCCCCACCCCAGGCCATAGCAGAGAGCTGGACTGGAAGAGGAACAACTGGGACCAGAACCCGGTGCCCATATGGAATGTTGGTGCCACAGGCGGAGGACTCACCAAGTGAGCCACAGCACTGGCCCTGTACCATTTTTATATTCCTACCAGCAGCATATGAAAATTCTGGGTCTTCCACAACCTCCCTGGTACTTGATACAGGCCATTGTAATGGTTGTGTGTTTCATGATGGTTTTGATCTACAGTGCCCTAACCACTATACATTTTGAGCAGTTTATCTTACTTGAAGAAGTGTTTGTTCAAGTTTTTGGTCAGATTGTGACATTTTCCCCTTGTTTTCTTAATATTGAATTTTGAGAGTTTTTTTATGTACTCTAAATTTTTTACATACTTTGCAAATATTTTCTCCTACTGTTTTCATCATTGTAACCATGCTTTTCAAAGTGCAGGAGTTTTGACTTATGATAATGACTAATTTACTAATATGTTCTTTTATAACTCATGCTTTTGGGGCTCTTACTGTTACTGTTTCAAGATCAGAAAGGTTTTCTTCTAGAAGATTTGTAGCTTTAAGTTTTACATGTGAATCTGTGATTCACCTGCAGTTAATTTTTGAACAAAGCATGAGGTTTGGATTGAAGTTCTGTTTTTTGGTTTTGCTTTTTTTATACCCAGCAATAATAGCAACGTTTGTTGAAAAGACTCTCTGTTTTCTGTCTCTGCAGCTTTGCTGAAAATCACTTGTTCATGTGTGTGAGTTCATCTCTGGACTCTATTTGGTTTTGCTTATCCCTTTGCCTATTTTTATGTGAATACTTTATTATCTTTATATCTGTGGCTATAATAAGTCCTGAAATCAGGTAGTATCATTCTTCAAATTTGGTTATTCTTTTTCTCTCTCTATTTAAAAAAAAAGATTTCTTTCTGTCTTTCTTTCTTTATTCATTCATTCAAAAGGCAAGACTGGAAGAGAGGGGCTGGGTAGAGAGAAAGTGCTGGTTCACTCTCCAAATGCCTGCAACAGCCAAGGGTGGGCCAGACTGAAGCCAGGAGCCAGGAACTCCATCCTGGTCTCCCACATGGATGGCAGGGACCCAAGTGCTTGGGCCATCATCTGCTGCCTTCTCAAGCACATTAGTAGGGAACTGAATCCAAAGTAGAGCGGCACTCAGATATGGGATGTTGGTGTCCCAAGCATGGCTTAACCTGCTGCACCACCTGCCAGTCCATGGCTATTTTTTTTTCCAAACTTGGCTATTTAAGTCTTTTGTGACACCTGCATTTTTGGTTTAACTGCCTGGGAGTTGAGTAAATCACAAAGGTCCTCTTATATCAGTCTCCTAGTTACATGGATCATGTCATTGGTGGAAGAGGAGGCAAAGCAAAGGGTGGTAGTGGAAACAGATTTCTGGCACAAGGCAGGCCAAAGGACACATAGCAGCACCATGCTGTCAGCTTTTGATCAATTGGAGGAGAGCAGAGTTCACTGCCTTCGTGGGCCATCATGGCCAGTGATCCACAGAACACTGGGTAGTTCTCTACATACAGTCTGGGCACTGGCTCCCTGTTGTGTGCATTTCCCTTAATGTTTTCTCTGCTGGCCTCTCTTTGAGAATGCAGTGATGACAAAATGCCCTGAGAGACTCATAGAGCCAGAGAGGGAATCCCAATTTGCCCCCTTCTGATTCTTGAATAGCTTCTTTGTGGTTATGCCTCATGAGAGAACACTTGTGAAAAAGGTGTGGAAAGCTCTCTGCCCACTGGGGTGACAGACCCCTTAGATCCAATGTCCACCTGTCTCAGCTGGCACAGTAGGAGAGCTGGATGCAGTCACCCAGGGAAGCAGATGTGGAGCACACGTGTCTCACATCTGAATCCCTGTCTTCTTTGAGTACTCTGACCAATCCACCGTCCTGGATCATGTTGGTGGGTGAGCAATTCTTGGTGAAAGCCGCCCACTGTGACCTGATACCATGAAAGCTGATAGAGGCCAGCTGCATCCTCTGCCTCTCTTTTTGGTCAGTGTGGAAGCCAGGACATGCCCTAAGCATGTCCTGGTGGACACTGGCTTCTGGGACATGACATGACACCTGGAGGAAATCAAGCCAAGGTGGAGGAAAGAGCAGAGAGATGACGATCAGGGCAAGAGCAGACCACCTGTTTTTCTGCATGGTGATGGTTTGTTTTCCCTTACACAGGGATGTTTGGGAAATGTGACATGATTCAGTGCATGGATAGTAATACTGGTGGAAGACCCCCTTCTTCAGGGAGATGGGGAACTTTTTAATGCCAAGGGCCGTTTAGAGTTTCAGCACACTGCAGGCCATACAGAATGTCCAACTTAAACATTAGTCTGCTAGAGATTTATTGAATTTTGAGGCCTGCCTGTGGTTGCTTTCGCAGGGCCAGGTCAAATGCTTTCTTGGGCCTCATACAGCCTGTAGACTGGAAGTTCCCCGATCCCGTAGACCTAAACAAAAACATTATCTAGGATCACAGACGTGTCCAGCACAACAGAGTTGGGCTTTCCCTTCTCATCTGATGCAAGGTCCTCATTTTGCTGATGAGTAGACAGAGACCTAGGAAGTCTGACCAAAATTGAGTCCCCCCACCTCAGCTCCCGACATGCGGGCAAACTTCCCAGTCCGCCTTCTTTCAACCATTCCACCCCTCGTGTCTGTGAAAGCGTATTTAGATATTTGCTTATTTAAGTAGGCATGTATATAGCAGAACTTGGTGACAGTGGAGGGTAGTCTTGACAGCAGCCAAAGCAGACGGAAGGGTGGCTCAAGGCATTAACTACTAGGACCATGGCTGGTGAATAATCTAGGTCAGTGTTTGGAATCTCAAAGCATTCTCCTACTCCTTCATTTTGTGATAGACTTTGCTTTAAATTGACCTTCCTGGCCGGCTCCGCGGCTCACTAGGCTAATCCTCCGCCTTGCGGCGCCGGCACACCAGGTTCTAGTCCCAATCGGGGCGCCGGATTCTGTCCCGGTTGCCCCTCTTCCAGACCAGCTCTCTGCTGTGGCCCAGGAGTGCAGTGGAGGATGGCCCAAGTGCTTGGGCCCTGCACCCCATGGGAGACCAGGAGAAGCACCTGGCTCCTGCCATCAGATCAGCGCGGTGCGCTGGCCGCAGCACGCTGACCACGGCGGCCATTGAGGGTGAACCAACGGCAAAAGGAAGACCTTTCTCTCTGTCTCTCTCTCTCTCACTGTCCACTCTGCCTGTCAAAAAAATAAATAAATAAAAGTAAATTGACCTTCCTGCATCTCTCTGTTGGCCACTTGGAATCCATCCAATACCCAGCCCATTGGATATA